AGCAGGCTGGATAAATGTCCTCGGCGGGCAGCATGTGGCCCATGTGCCGTAGTTTGAGGACGCCTGCTCTAAAGAGCAAGCAAGCCCCCTCCTTAACAAAAACTCACGTTTCATTCATCTGAATCGGGCCACATACTCAGAGGGGTGGGACTGCCCTGACTGGCTGGGCCACCGGTGGGTCCCCACTGGACATGGTGAGGGGCCGTTCCCATCCAGACCACAGCTGCCACACAGGACAGAAGCAGACTGGATGCCAGACACACAACCACAGGGGGGACCACTTCAATTCCTAAACTTCCTTCTCAGTTGTTTTGTGCTACTTTATTTACAGCTGGGGGTGGGGAATGGGGAACCCAATGTGAAACCCACACATACACGAGAGAAGTTAAAAATAATTCTCACAGAGAGAGGCCTAAAAACCACTGTGAGTCCTGACTTCCCACTGGTGAGGTTTTACCAAAGACTCAAACACTGAAATTTGCTTATTTTTCTATCAAAATAAATGTGGATTTTCCTAGTATTTTCTCACTGTTCTGAAGTGAAACTTTGCTGACAAGGCTGTATTGTAACTGGCTCCCAGCCTGCCTCTTATTTGGGAAAAATCATCAGGCACAGGGGCTCCCACCTGCTTAACAACTGCCTGTGAGCCAGCCACGTCTCAGCGACATCATGTGTGAGACTACAAGAGCAAAGAAGCTGCCACACAGGCTAGAACCTTCTCTTTGGCCCAGGGTTAGGTAATATATCCCTGTCACGGGCGTGAAGACAAAGAGACCTGCTGAGCCAGCAACTCCTCATCTTCAATGGTGCTGGAATAGGCATGCTCAAGAATGTACCAGAACAAACCCAGGAGTCTGGTCTCACCAGTCCACAGGGACAAATCATCTCTCAGACAGAAACAGCCAACTGTGCCACTAAGCTTTATCACTGAATTTTATACCTTTTAGTGACTGTTGGAAAAGACAATAAGAGTATCTAAATATCTAATGAAGAAATTCCTAATATCTGAAAAGAAAAAGATGTCTTATTCTAACCAAAACAGTAAATTGAGGAACTTGTCCATAGGAGTAGGCATTACCTATTGAGTGTGAGAAGCTGTTCTTTTAAGACAATAGAATTCACTATTTTCATTCTGGACCTTTTCATTTTAAGTCTCTTAAAATTGAATCTCTAATAAATCCTGCCAGCATCACACAAAACCATGTCATACTCAATTAATGAAATTCCTGTCAGCTGCTGGGCTGTGGATCTGTTAGTGCCCAGAGAAAGCTAGAGAAGTAACCTGTCTTGATTTAGGTAAAGCGTTAGACTCTGTCCTATTTGACATATATCGTAAGAATCTAGGGAAATGTGCTCTCTAGAGTTCCACTGACCACAGAACAGAATCTGTTCATTTATTCAGTCAGTCAGTCAGTCAACAAGCATGCTTGTGCACTTACTGTATGCCAGGTACCGTGCGCAGTCCCCATTTCCAACCTCACCACCCCCAGCACCCACTGGAGAATGCAAGAGAAGGGAGAGAGGGATGGAAAAAATGAAAGGCAGGAGAGAGGAAAGAAGAAAGGGAAGACGAGAAGAAGGGAGAAACAACAGGAGAGAGAGGAAGGAGAAAAGATTTATCCATTGCTGGCCAATTAATGCTGCTGGTCAGACTTGTTTCCTGACCATGGATTTGTTTGGTGGGAATTGGGGGGATAAAAGGGAGAAAGGGGCAGAAGAAAAATGTGAAGGGGGAAGCCCTGCGCTAGAGCTCTCTACCACCCCGACTCATTAAGTTTCAGTACTGTTCTTCATTCTCGAATCACCCCACCTGCTATATTCAGTGCCACACATCCAATCCCGGCTCCCTTATCTCAGTGTTGGAAGACAGCTCGAGTGCCTTGAAACCATCAGGGAGGGACCAGGAGAAGATGTGGCCCTGGGTTTCTAAGATGTAAATCTGAGTAACTGTTCCAGTGGTGTCTGTTAGGGTCTCTATTACAGCATACAGTAGTCTTGTGGACTCATTGTTTAATTTGCTTATTCATGCATTGAGGACTTACTGTTGTCAGGCACTATTTTAGGCTATGGGAGGCAGGGATGAACAAAATCTCTCCTCTAATGGAATTTACATATTAGCTGGGGGACATCAAGAATATATTAATATAATGACAAAAAAATTCACAAGAAAATATCAGGTGGTAGATGTTTTTGAGCTATGCGAAGAATTAAAACATGATAACAGGTTTGGTAGAATGAATAGGTGGCTAGTCTACATTGTCAGAGTGGGTCTAGTCATTAAGGTGTTCCTTAGGCAGCTGTTCCCACTGACAATTTTCTTAATGTCTGAGGGAGTCAGAGAGACTTGTGTTCTCATTGAGAAAATAGCTCATGCAAATGTCCTAAGGTGGGAAAAAACTTGACTTAATGAAGGATTTCAGAGAAGACCAGTGGACTGTGAGATGAGGTCTGAGAGGAGGCAGGGGACACGGCAAGACAGACATTGTGGCATAGAGCAAGTGGTTTGAGCTTGACCGTTAGGCTAAGAGGAAGTTATTGAGTCAGAGTATTGTGGTACAGTACACCGGCATTGTATTCCTTTAGCATTATTAGTACATATTGCAAACACATGTTAAAGAGGTTTGTGGACTTTTCTGGCGTCCAAACAGCCATGAGGAAGATTGTTTGCATGAAAAATGGTTTTTGCATTCTAAGCAAAAGCTCACACAATTTTTTCAATCCTGGTTTATTATAATATGGGCTAGGATCTTATTCCTAATAATAAATTTGGAAAATGGAGAACTGCAAGCTACTTAAATCATGCAGGCTTCAAGAAGGATGTGGCTTATTTTTATTTCTCTTCCAATGTATATCAAGGTTTACACTAGCAAAATCTGTTTCAGAGTGGTCATTTATCTTATCTATTGCTGAGTTTACAATTCTTCAGTCTAGTTTAATTTTGTTTTGAAATGTTTTCTGACAGAAAAAGGGAAAAATTAATTCATACTTTCTTCTCCTTCTCAGTCTCTTTTTTTTAAACAAAGCCAGAATTTTATTTTATTTTATATTTATAGGTTATTATTCAGTTCAAAGACTATAGAGATGAAAGGAAATTGGACCAGTTATTTTCATATCGTGCATAACAACAAACATTTGTGCATTCCTTTGAGTCCATTGTAAGCATAAGAATCTATTTGCATTTCTGTGCATACATATTATGTGATCTAAGAAATATAGGTTCAATCTTGGATTTTTAATCCGAAATTAAGTTTGGTGATCCTTCTCAGTCTTAATTAAGCCAACTTTCACTTGGAATTTTTCTATAAGCCTTTTTGACCTAAAAAATAATAAATCATCACCATTTTGAAAAATTCATTAGGTGTACATTTCAAATCTGACTCCATCCTACCTCACTGCCATCATAATATGTTGAACTTATTGCATGAACTTGAATGACTATACATGGTGCCCATTTCAGGAGAAAACTAACTTCAGACCACCTATTTATTCTTCAGATTATCCCTGCATTTAGGGGCCCTGAGATTTCATGTGTGTAAAGTGCTCCTCCTCTGCCCTAACAGCACTGACCAGGTGAAGTTTTAAATATCTGCTGACAACCTCATTTCCCAACTAGACCAAAACCCCCTGAGGCCAGGACTGTGTTTTACTCATCTCAACATCCTTGGTGTGTTTCCCACAGATCTGCATACACTTAAGTATTCCATAAATGTTTGCTGAGCAAATGGCTGAGGTAATGAGTGAATACACAATTTTGTTTTATTCAGTAAAAAAAAAAATTACCAAAAAAAGGGAAGAATCATTATTTGGAGTTTCATTTACTACAGTAAAAGGAGAATAGCAGGTTACTTCTGGTCAAGTATAGGATTCTAGACCTATTTCTTAAATACATCTATTCCAGATCCATAATCTGAAAATAATATCCACTGATATCTGATCCATATTAACAATGTGCCTCATCAGGATTTCAATAGCACATGTGAGCTAAATAAAAGTCATCTGTTTTCTCAGCTCACATGGGTTAGGATACTTACTAACCACAACCAGATACTTACTAACCACAACCAGATAGCTCTCTTGTTTCCTAAGAGAACTCCTAGGAAACAAGAATGAATAAGAGGAAGCTGAGTCTATTTTTCCTCCCAAGAATACAAACAGACTTTCCCCAGAAACTGATAAGCATAGGTTACTTAGGGGATTTATTGATATACGTATATTATATTTGTATCTTACTGCAAATTTAAACCATGTGTATTTTATACACTGTCTCAAGTCCTTTCAGAACTAGATGGAGTATAAATTTAAAATAAATAAAGGTATAGTTTAATCTGTATGTAATAACTATAGACTTGTCAACACATGCCATGTAATATTTTGGTATATTTTTTATAAGATTAAATTGATTGATTTTCTTACCTGTAGAATGAGTATATTGCTTTGCCTTATTTATAAGAGATTTAAACTTTATTACTTTAGTTACATAGAGAATATAACTGCCTGCTTCATTTATGTAGCTCTGATCTTAACCCAATGCAATACTTAACAAAGAAAAAAGAATTTAAAATTATGCCCTTTTTTAATATCCTGGGAAATATACAATTTTTTGAAATACATTTTAAAATAATTTCTCTCAAATGCTATAATGCAAGCTACCATTTATTTTTATTTGCAGAGTTTTGCAATCATTTTCTTTATTATATTCCTTCTGCAACAAAACAAAACAATACAAAAAAACAATAGTTTGCATCTGTGTCTGACAATATGTATTTTTAGTGAGGTTATGGAAGAACTTTCAGATTTAAAGCACATGAGATTTTGTAAAAGTTCTCTAATCTTATTCTAAAAATAATAGGGAAAATTCTGTAATTCGGATTCAGATTTTGCAAATACTTATCGTAAAGCTAGTACATGCCAGCCACTGGGCCAAGGGCTTGCTGGTGATAGCTCATTTCTCTTTATAACAATGTGGTGAGGAAGGTATTATTACTGTCTTTATTTTACAGGTGGGCAACTGAGACTGTTGGGGATAAGTAAGCTGTTTCCCATCACACAATAGAGTGGAACATGCCCATGAAACAGTGTGACACATGGTAAGATTCAGTAAATGCTTGTTGACTGTAACAGTACACTGCCTTGTGAGACATACATTGCTTCTTTTCAGCATTCTTAGAACCTGTCACAGTGGATGAGTAAACATGAGGTTTGGCAATCACTCTGGCCTATTTAATAAAGTAGTTTGAGATTCTTCTAATCAATCTAGAAAACCAGCACCTATGTTCAGTCAATGCTTATGTGTTCTAACATTGAAGTTTGGAGTATGCAAATGGAAAATTGCTTTAAGGTCAACCTTTATGTTTTACTAATCTCTTTTCCCTCAGCACCTAGGGCCATGCCTAGTACATCATAGATATTCAATAAATATCAGATAAATAAAATGATGGATGAACAATTTCTATATTGAATCCCACACACATACAAAACAAGTAATTCCTTCCTGAAATAATGTTTCTTTGGGTTGGATTCAATCTGGCTAATCAGAGACAATGTTCAAACTCTACTGCTTACTTGCTGTGGGAACTTGATCAAATTATATAATGACTTTAAGCCCCAATTTTCTCCTTTTTAAGATGGGAACAATAAACTCTATTCACAGAGTAAATTATCAAAGTTGATGGAAGGTAGTTCTTGAAGTTTATACCTGTTATGGGTTGAATTGTGCACCCCCCCTCTCCAAATATGTTGAAGTCCTAACTACTAGTACCTCTTACTTAGAGATAGGGTCTTTATTGAGGTCATGAAGTAAAAATGAAGCTATTATAGTGAACTATAATCAAATGTGCTTATTGTCCTTATTAAAAGGGGTCATTTGGAAACAGGAACACACACAGGGAGAGCACCATATGCAGGTGAAGGCAGAGATTGGAGTGATGCTTCTAAATGACAAGGAACATCAAAGATTGCCAGAAAACCACCGGATGCTAGGGAAAAGGCATAAAACATATTCTTCCATACAGCCTTAAGAAAGAATCAACTCTGCTGATACCTTGATCTTGAACTTCTAGTTTTCCTAAGTGTAAGACAATAAATTTCCATTCTTTAAGCTGCCTAGTTTGTTGCCTTTTGTTATAGAAGTCATAGGAAACTAATACAATGCCTGACCACAATTATTTCCTGAGTTAAGAAGAAGTTAATGTCATTTTCTGGGAGAAAGGAATTGGCATAGAGCTGAAAGGTCGAGAAGAGAGATGTATCCCACCTATAATTATTGAACATCTTCCACCTGTCAGTGATGGTGCCTATTGCCAGAGGTATGACTGTAGCTAAGACGGTCATGGCTACTACCCTCACAGAGCTGAATGTCCAGCAGAATTTTGAAAATGCTTTGGTGGAGAACAGGTAACAGAGGCAACTTATGATGAATAAACAGATTGTTAAAGAGTATGGAGTTCAAACTGTTGATAAATACGACCTTTCATGACTTGGACTTTGCCTGCTTCTTTGACGTCATTTTCGACCTCCAACTCCTCATTTCTTCCCCCTCACTACCACTGCCTACATATCTCGTACACATACATGTGTGTGCATACACACACACACTCACACACACAGGCTATGCTACAGCCCTACTCACTTGCATTGCCCAAAACTCTGATATTCTTTGCTTCTTGCCTTTGCACATTCCATTCTCTCTACCTGAAAGTCCCCTATTCTTTATTTACCTGACAGGCTCCTAGCTTTTCTTGGATTCTAAACTCAAGCATTATCTTTACATTTTTAATTTCCTCACCACAGTCTGAGTTAGAAGTGGCTCCTCTGCTTCCACAGCACTTGATACTCCTTTACTGCACTGGGCTGTAATTGGGTGTTGCCTTGCCCGAGACCAGAGATCGTGTGTTTTGCATCCCTCTCCCTCATGCCGAGCACAGTACCTGGAACAAAGTAGATGTGCAATACAAGTTTATTGAACCAAATGAATAATTCATTAATGGAGAGAAATGTCATATGCAAAGGTATTCAGCAACCCATGCACACATAGCACAAAATGGCCCCAGGACTGATACTGACTTCACATGCACCTGTTCCTTGGCCATGTCTCACTGTCCTGAAGGACAGTAACTCCCACCACCACACTCTACATCCACATCCACCAGAAGGTCAGCCCAGCTTGCCATCAGATGCTAAATGTGTGTATCTACCCTTCACCACTCAGTAGGAAAGTCTTTGAAATGTTGACATTTACCTTTTGAAACACTGCCAGGCACAATCCTAAACCTATGTGGTATTTTCCAACTGTGCAATTTGAACCATGTCTCAAGATGTATAACAGGGAGGCTCTGAAAAAGTCATAAAGCGTTCACTCCCTCTATAGTGATATAAAAATCTCTTTGGAAATAAATAAATTCATAAAAATAAAAGGAAAATAAGGTCAGTTGAAAGATTCGAACATTTCTTAGACTTTATTTTATTTAATTTTTAATGACAAATAATAATTGTATATGTCTATGTGTACAATGTCAGGTTTTGATATATGTATGTATTATTCAACCACACATCTTCAGTGGTAGGTATAGATGAACAAGGACTTCTTTTTTTTTTTGAGACAGAGTCTCACTTTGTTGTCCAGGCTAGAGTGAGTGCCGTGGCGTCAGCCTAGCTCACAGCACCCTCAAACTCCTGGCTCAAGCAATCCTGCTGCCTCAGCCTCCCAAGTAGCTGGGACTACAGGCATGCACCACCATGCCCGGCTAATTTTTTCTATATATATTAGTTGGCCAATTAATTTCTCTATTTATAGTAGAGACGGGGTCTCACTCTTGCTCAGGCTGGTTTCGAACTCCTGACCTCGAGCAATCCGCCCGCCTCGGCCTCCCAGAGAGCTGAACAAGGACTTCTTAAAATAATCATGCAAGAATTAAGAATCATAAATCTGAATTTTTTACTCTGCTTTTGCATTGGGCTGTGATTTGTCTTTAACCCCTTGCAAATGAAGATTTTTCTCCTGTTTGCAACATGGAAATAATTCGAATGCTTCTGCTATAATGCATGTTCACTTTCTACAAAATCAGACACTAAAAATAAGAGAGCTCATGGGAAGATTATAATTGGGAAAAGTTGCTTAAAACCTACGGAACTTTGCAATCCAGACATTAATAAGAATAATTAATAATGCCAACAGAAATACCAACACAGTTAAACCTCTATTTGTATTTATCTCCAATCAGACAATCTTTCCAGTCTTAACTCCTGGTGTGGGTATTTCCCATTAGAAGTAGAGATCCTGTAGGACACTCTCTTCTAGTAGATCATTTAGTGGAAATTAAAAATCTAATCCACAACATAACTTTTGCTTTTATCCATTGTTTTAATAAAGGGGGAATGTCTTTGCAGCTTCTTCGTCTACAGTAACAGTTTCCCAAGAAGCTTAACACAGTTGAAAGCATAGCAGTTCATAAAGGCACTAAACTAGTCTCAGCCTGCAATTCTGTAGATTTCCAGAGTTCTTCCTAAGGGCTTCTTTACAGGTTGCTAAGGATTTCTCTTTAATTGCCAAAAAGACTGTTCCTGGTCATGTCAAAACATTAACCTGCTGGGAAAAAAATCATATATGAATTAAAACACAACTGATGTGTTATGTGGACATTATTCTCCTATTTACCAAGAGAGCATGAGGTAATTCTTATATAATAGTATCAGTGAAACACACTTTAAAGTAGAACAGATTGTAGTTCTAAATACTTACTTAGTTGATAAAATAATCAACTGTGGCTTAATGAGTGCATGTCAGAAAATTCTTCCAATTCCATGGGACAAATCTATTTTGCAGCAATATTCAGTATCTCTTCGGAGCCTCAGAAATGACAATTGTTGCAATCACTTTCTAATTTTACATTTAAAGGAAATGTGTTGTTAGTTATGGCAACTCCTACCGTGGCTACTTTTCCAGAAAGTTGTATGCTACATATATTGAGGAAGAAACAATGAAGACTTGTTCAATATTTGCTATTGAAGTTCTTTTGAGCTTTTCCAATGAATACCTTACTGCCCAAATACTTTGGAGAACACAATTCTAAATTCTGCAGTTGAAAACACTTGCAGAGTGGTCTATCATTTCATTCACCCTGGAATGAGAATGTTTAAGTACCTGTTTGGAAAAGAACTTTGCTAAATCCTGCACAAATATAAATCACCCCTTTCTAAGGCTACCAACGTGATTCAAAAACTATTGGAATATAATCAAGAGTGATAATGGAGTACACTGGAAATAAATAAAAAGAGTGTTTCATGACAGCAGAAATATTTTTTAATTTTCCTTTTTAATCTGAAGCTAGGTTATACTTCCAGAAATTTGTTGATAACTACTTTATGTAGTATTCTTATATGAGGCTACTGTTTCAGAATAGGTATTTGGAATTCTTATTCTTCTGGGCTGGTCCTAGGTAAGTTTCTATTGTATTAGATATATGTGCTCTCAATTTATCTACTCAGAGTTTCAGATTTGCATAATGTTAGAATAGATTAGCCCAGGGGTAGGGAAACTTTTCATGTTGGAAGGCCACATTAATTTAGCTATAATCAAATAAGACCACACTCAGGAAACTTCAATTAGACATACTGAAAATATTTTGTAAACATCTAACTAATATGAACTTAATAATTTCAAAAAATAAAAACTGTTTTTAATTTTAAAGTTAACGAACCTTTTAATGACTTTATTGTGTTTGCTTTTTGTCAGAAAGCATTTGAATATTTGGTTGCTGCATGGAAGTCTGTAGTTTCAGTTGATCCTCTAGATGGGCATCAGTCATTTGTGACCTTAAGGGCACTTTGATTGGGTTAGGTAGGAGAATGTAGATTTGCAATAGTAAGTGGTGGAAAAGCAAAAAAGCATTTCTCAGGCATGTTGCTGAAGATGTGGGTATTCTACTGCATTTTCCCCTATTTACTTGGATCTTTATTAGCACCAAACAATGACTTTAAAATGCCATCTACTGACAGCTGAATCAATTCTATCTGTAGTTGTTTAGGTGCCTTGGTGCTGTCAACTAGGTGAGGCTCAAAGGCTAATTTGAGTGCGATATCATGATTCTCAAAGTCAGTGAACCTTTCATTGTATTCTCCAATTAATGGGTTTATAACAGCTTCATATTCTTCAAATGACTCACATATATCATCCTGCTCAACAATGACATTTGCTAACTGGGGAAAATTGTTCATCTAAAATTTCCTTTTGAAGAAGAAATGTTTTGAGAAAAGATAGCTTTTTTTGAAATGCTTGAAATGATTTTTAGCCACATATCATATGTAGACTTTGTTTTACCTTACAACGTAATATTTCAGTAGTTTTGATATGACATGATACCACACGGAAATGCTGCATTCCTGTGGAAATACTCTTTCAATAATTCACATTGCTGATTCTGTTCTTCATAAAATTTAACTATCTGTTCTCACAGAGATAAAATTTTGGCTACCACCTGTCCCTGTGATAACCAACACACTTTAGAATGATACTTGAAATCCACACGGAGAATGCCCCTCATAGTTCAACTTTAGCATGTTACAAAACTGAAGATGCCATGTTGCATTTGCATGAATATAGTTAACAATACTTATAACTTGTTGCAAAGGTCACTTAAAATAGTAGCTTTAGAACAGAGATTTTGCTGATGCAAGATACAATGAAAAGAGGTGAGAGCATCTGGATCTGTAATACTTTTTTAATTTGTGCAATAAACCCTTCATGTTTTCCTGTCACGGAAGGTGCACCATCTGTACATACACACACTAAATTTACCAAAATCAGTCCAACTTCATATCAGTTGTTTGTACTTTGAAATGTTAACAGGGTCTAAGCATCCTACAGCTTCAACAATGCATTCTTTAATAATTGCTACATCACTGAATGACTTCTCTTTTTTCCTGAGTATATAAGCTACTTTAT